AAAGGAACTTTCTCCAGCAGTAATTGCAATTTTTTACCTGCACCAAAATCCTTCAAAAACATTTTTCTAGAGGTGATTCCGAATAGAATGAGCTTATCGCTCATATTTTTAGACCCTTTATCTCTATTTTTCATGTTTTTGAACTTGTTGATTAGACTACAAATGAAGAGGCAACATTTGAAAGCCATTTTTTTTTTTATATTCTAAAGTAAAAGAGGCCGATTTTCATGATTTTGAATTTATTGGAGTTGTCTCCGCCCGGAATAACAAATAAATTTATTTGATAGGTTTTGACAATTTTCATGGTGCGCACGAAGATAATTGTGATTATTATATTTGTGATTGTGCGCACATGGATAATTATTGTATCATAATAAAAGCAAAGTCAGGAATAATCCATCCCAGTGTTATTTACAATGGTGCGAGTGAGATGATCCTCATGTAATGCAATTAGACTGTACCTTTCTGTGATACAATTTCACAAATTCTGACTAACTGAAATCTTAATCTTTCCGCTTCTTGACAGATTATCATTATCTTTTTGTTGCAGGTTCATTCTCCAACAACACATGCAAATTCACACAGGAAAACTGTGCAGATGTCCGATGGTGGGATGTATTTATACGGCTAGGAAGATGAGTGAAATTAATGAACACCTCAGAACTCATTCCGATGTCAGATCGTTCTGTTGCGAATTATGTGACTACAAGGGAAAATCAAAACAGCAGTTGAATAGGTAAAGAGTTTTGAGTTCGAATCTCAAATNAAATAACAGTGAAATAAAATACAAGTGAAAAATAAAACAAGTAAACAAAAGAAAACCAGTTAAGTGATTCCAAAATAAGTTACTTCACGACGTTTCGTGACTGGAATATTCCTCCGAGAAATGCAGCCTCTTTGAACTTCCTCTTGAACCAGTGTTCCTCCCTGTAGATGATCTTAGCTTGATGTTATGTTGATGAGTCCAAACATACTTCGCTATTCTCGATTTGCTGGTTTCTTCTCGGTATGTGTTTCTCTTGTGCTCGGCAAAGCGGATTTTCAATGGCCTCTCAGTTTCACCGATATAGGTTTTGCCGCACTCACAGGGTATACATTGAATGCAATTCTTGGAATCGTAGTCCGCGTTTGGTGGCCTGGTTTTCGTGAGGCTGCTACGGATGGTGTTTCCGGATCTGAAGCAAGTTCTGATGTTGTACTTGGACCCAATTTTTCATATTTTCCGACAAACCTGTGGGGTAGGAAAGGACAAGCACTGGTTGTAACGGCTTCCTTTCCTTGTGAGGCTCTTGCTTTCTTCTACCCAAAATCGGTTCCATCATCACTTTGGGGTAACCATTCCGTTGACGACCTTTTTTGAAGATGCCTAATTCCTTGTCGAGACCTTCCTGAGTATTATAGAGCCCGAAAGCATGATCGACTAGAGTCTTGGTGATTCCTGTTTTAGTATATTGATGGTGGTGATTCAAATACTCTCCCGTGGGAGTGGGTTTTCGGTAAACAGATATTTCCCACTTGGTCCTTTTCACTAATGCGTCTAAGAATGGCCATTTGTTGTGGATTTCCTCCTTTATTTTAATTTTTTGCTTATTTTGACTTCAAATCATATTAGACAATGAAGTCCGAAGTAATAAAATTCACCAAGAAACATTGTCAACCACTTTCAAATAAATTGGATATCAGTATTCGCATTTGGGGTCCTTCATTTTTCAATATTTGAACTCTGTTGTTTCAAGAATATCCATTAATTTTTCATTACCGAATCTGCTGAACAGATAAATATGATGATTTATGACTGGTAGGATGCTTCGCCAGTAGTAGCGTTAACAGAAGGATAAATTCGAGAAGTCATTGAATTCGTAGAATACATTTGTAATGAAAAACTCTGACTTCTTCAAATTTATTTATTTATAATTATTTGATGGACGGTGTGCCAACTTTTGAAAGTTCACTGGTTCTTGCAGACATATGACCGTCCACAGCGATACGAAGAAATATCATTGTCCTCAATGTTCTTTTTCCGCCAGAGATTACATACATTTGAGAAGACATGCTCGAATACACACTGGGGCAAAACCGTTCAGCTGTCCTCATTGCCACTACAAATGCAATAATTTGGTAAGTCAACTCAATTAATATACAATTAGAAATGTCAGATAATAGAAGGCTCAGGATATGGAGTTTACTCCAGATCCAGATCACTCCTTAGGATTAAGTGGGGAATGGGAAAAAATACTGGCGTGGTTCAAACAGAACTGGCTGGTTCAATCGCCACAAAAGAAATAACCAGGAAAGGAATTTCTGGCAAAAACATAACAATCTNACTGATAGATGATAAGATGATCAATACTTGATATGAAAAGAAAACATTTTTTTTGAAAATTTGTTCAGGAAACGTAAAGACAGTACAAAAAATCATAAAGGTTATTCATGGGAAAATGATCTACAAAAGGGTTTACATAGTCAATTAGATTAATTGGAGATCAAAAGTACCGAATAATTTTCCGCTCAGGTTAGTTAGTTTTCTATGGAATTTCAAGGTAAAATCTATGAAATAACATAACGATATCTTTGAAAAAATGAGGAAAGAAATCAGGTCAATTCAACAATGAAAAAATCTGAATCATTCAAAATCTTCTTCTGTGGAAAGAAATTTTCAATAAAACTATCTCCGAAATTTGTTTTGTGTTTATATGGTATATCCATAACGTGTTCGAAAAACAGTTGATTATGAGAATTTCACTGAATAGTTTTACAATAATGCAACACGTGTTTCACCCTGCAATGGCTCCTTCAGACGGGTTACGTTTTTATAAAACTGTTTAGTAAAAATCTCACATTGAAGTGTTTCTTGTATATTGCATATTCTTGTATAGTTTTCACCAAATTGTGAAAAAAAAAATTTTGAAGAAGATAAAAATAAAAAACCAAAAACTTGGTTATTTGAATTTTTCACATAAATTTAGAGGTTATGTGAAAAAATTGTAAATACAAAAGTTGAAGATCTTTTTATTACTAACAACTCTGCTCTTCAACTTTTTTCCATAGGACTTGTAGTTTTGCCGGAAATCGAGATAAACTGTTTACATTTTTAACCCTCAAAAACTCACCCCGAATTCAGATCGACCGTAATTTATTTTTCCTTTCATTTTTATCATATTCTCCTTCTTTTTTAATGGGTTTCATTCCACTGTTATTTTTTTTGGTTTCAAAATTTATCGACTCTGGTCTATATGGTGGTATAACTTTCAACCGCTACGTAGATATTCACTGGGAAATCAAATGTAGTGTTGAAAAAATCAAGAACAAATATTTTTTGAGCTCTGGATCACTCAGTATTTAAAAAATGGTCAAACTATCTTTGATTGAGTTTTGGTTGAAACTGGGGACGGTTGAAAAAAGTTCAGCTTTTTGACGCTAATTTTGGGATAACTTCTGGAACTCTCGATATAAAGACATTTAATTTTTGTCAGAATCTGAAAAGCAATACAGGGTGTAACTGAATAAGTGTAAAACATTTAGGGAGGTGATTCCTCATCGAAAAAAAGATAGGATATTTCATATAAAGAAACTTCATTGGAGCATCCCTTGTTAAGATACAGTCCCTTGAAGGGGGTACATAAAATTTGTATAACAATTTTTTTCACACAAAGGAACTTTCTCCAGCAGTACTGGATGCACTTCTCCTAAAAATTGAACGTATGCCTCACCATTTAATCAAGGAGGTAGAAAATGAGGCCCAATTAAATCATCCCTTTTTCGATGAGAAATCATCTCCTTAAATATTTTACACTTATTCAGTTGCACCCTGTATACGACTTTTTATTCAAATACCTATCTTTGATGATGATGATGCGTCACGCTTCTACTCGGTACCCTGTACATTGAAGAATGATTCAGAAAAAACAACTTATTGATACCTGAAACTTTCATATGGAACGTTTTTTTTCACTCGTTCATCTCAAACTTCATATAGAACTTCGATGTGACACACAGTGTATAAAATTGAAGGCTACGTCGAAGAACTTTCCGTTTGCGAATATCCTCATTATCAAAAATTTCCATTTCTCAGGAGAATTTGAGGAAACACGTCTTGTCAACGAACAAACATCCGGGAAAAAGCATTTACGAATGCAAGTTTTGCAACGGAGAAGAAGGCCAATTCCAGACCAACTTCGCCAAAGAATTTAAGGTCCATTTGATAACGAACCATTCGGAAACATTCGGCGACGGTGCGGAGGCGGCGACTTATGTGGCGGGCATTTACGACGTCCAAGATGACAGCACCCATCTGAACGACTCTCTCGTTCAACTACAGGATGTAGCTGGGCATAGGTGAGTAATTCTAATCTGTTTAATTTGTTTCAACTTAGAACGGGCGTGCCGGTCACGCCCTGTACCGAAGGTCAATCTGGCACAATTAAATAACCATTCCGCACTGTATGAGGTGACTGATCATTGGGTCTGAGAATTATGTGCTCTAGAAAAACAATTGAACCATAATATATGTGGCCAAAGTCGGTGATAGAGTTCTGGTCATCTCGTTCAACTACTACTACCAAGCCATTGCTCGGGCATGGTGTTTATGCTTTTACACGATCGCATACTATACAGTGAAAGGATTTCGATGACTCGATAAACTTCCAGGTTACAAATTGAAACTGGCTGGCTTCTATTATTTTCACTCCAATCTTGAAAAATTTCACGACATCCCAGTTGTCGGAGCAAATATTACCCGATGATTCAAGATGAACTCTTCACATTTTATATGAGGAAAACCCGGAAAAACCAACAGTACCACATCATCTGAAGATCTTGATCTGCCAATGTCCTCTCTTCCATACAACAAAATGTAGTGACATGACTATCGTCAAACTTAAACCAGTCCGTTTTGTATTTGACCAATGCTTAATAATGATCAGATTCAACACCAAAACCACAGTGAACAATGACTGTATGAAGATAAACATAGTGGTCTGCTATATTGAAGTGTTCATCTATTTCGAACCTTCGTAAGAGTTTAGTACTCTCGTCAGAGGTTGAGTCATGTTTGAACATCATCAGTGTTGTTCCTGCGGAAGTTTAATTTAAAAAGTTTGTTTAAACAACAACAAAAAATATTTGGCGACTTCATTGATTCCAGTGGCGCATTTGCTTTTTTAACTGCAGGAAAACCCGGAAAAACCAGCAGTACCACATCATCTGAAGATCTTGATCTGCCAATGTCCCCTCTTCCATACAACAAAATGTAGGGAGTCTCCAGAGGCTTCAATAAATTCAAGACATCGCCAGAACACTTAGTGACATGACTATCATCAAACTTAAACCAGTCAGTTTTGTATTTGACCAATGCCTAATAATGATCAGATTCAACACCAAAACCACAGTGAACAATGACTGTATGAAGATTATAATAGTGGTCTGCTATATTGAAGTGTTCATCTATTTCGAACCTTCGTAAGAGTTTAGTACTCTCGTCAGAGGTTGAGTCATGTTTGAATATCATAAGTGTTGTTCCTGCGGAAGTTTAATTTAAAAAGTTTGTTCATTGTTAATCTTGTTCATTTAATTTTATAATATGTTTGTGTAAATGTTCCTGTTCAACCCTGTATAAAAGACAATTCAGAGATAGATTTGTAGATAAAAAGTTGTGGTTGACGGTACGAAAAAATTATCTTCTCATTTCTTCATATTAAACAGAACCCAAGTCGAAAAGTAAAACCAAGTCAGATACATTAGTGGTCTTTCGAGTTTTCAATAAGAACAACCCTGTGGAAGATATCTGCTTCACGTTCAGTACCTTTAAGAAGAAGTGAAAGGATAAAGGCAAAAGTACCACAAATTTTTGACAACGGCTGTCAAATCCATGACACATCTAAAACCATTAATTTGCAAAATATGGAAAAACTAGAAACCCCGGCAGAATTTGAAAGTAAAAAGAAAAAAATACTTTCAGAAATATCAATCAAGTTCCAGAAAGTAGCAAAGTTTCAAGTAGTGAATCCATTCGACGCAGACAGTTGGAAATTGAACTTGAAAAGGAAAGACGTCTAGCAGAAATTGAAAAACGTCTAATAGAGAAAAAAGCTATGTTCAAACAAACTGAACTCGAAAGCCGTGGTGTATCCCTTTATTCAAATCAAGAAGAAGAAACGAAAACACAGACTAGTAAAGGGTCATTCATCAAAAATTGGGTGAAATCAACAAATGATAACATGGAGAAAATGCAACAACACAGTTTCTCCCACGAAGATATGACGGAAGATCAGAAAATGAACAAATTCATGGCCAGACAGTCGTTCAGCAAGGAACTTCCAATATTTTCTGGACAAGCTGGAGAGTGGATCAATTTCGTTAATCAGAAACAACAAATATTTGTGGATTTTCCAATGCCGAAAATATTGTGCGACTTCAAAAATGTCTAAGAGGTAAAGCCAGAGAATCTGTTTATGCCTTGCTCAGTTTTACTCGAGAAGTCTACAAAATTATGTTCTCATTTCTTCATATTAAACAAAACCAAAGTCTTGCCCAAGTCGAAAAGTAAAACCAAATCAGATACAAGTATAATTATAAGATTGACTGGTACCTGAGCTATACTTGTTTTATAATAGTCCCTATTTATTACTAAAATATTTTTTGTGCAGGCAAGTGGAACCCAACGAAACCATCAACAAACTAACGGTAGATGGCGATCCAATAGTTTGTCAGATATCAAGCATTCCATCCACGTCTTCTACTGATCAGCATCTTGACCAAATGTTGCCCAAATTCATCATTCCTAAAGATGATTCTGGTACTGTAGCCGTGGATAACTTACCAGATTCTTGGAATCTCGTAGGCAGATACGATGTTGAAGAAGAATCTGGAACCTTGATTCCCTTTGAAAGTGACAGCGAAAGCTTATTTCAAGAGCATTTCTGAATCAATCTAGGTGATTTTTTTATTGTTTGACTGATATCAAATAAAGGTTCTAACTTGAGAAATTTTGTATTTTTTCGTGATAGGTATGCAATAGTACGCGATAAAAATGGTTGGTATTATGCAGTTATTTTTGCAGCGTGTTCCTAAATTCATTGCCCATCAAAATAACAAGATAACAACAAAAAAAAACACTCCATATTTGATGTGCAAATGGCTTTTGGTTCAGATCGCGAATTTGCATTCACGTCTACTCTTCCAGCAATGCCGAAAATGTATGAAAATAAAATATTCTATTAGGGCTTGAAGAAAAGATCAAAAAAAAAACACTCCATATTTGATGTGCAAATGGCTTTTGGTTCAGATCGCGAATTTGCATTCGCATCTACTCTTCCACCAATGCCGAAAATGTATGAAAATAAAATATTCTATTAGGGCTTGAAGAAAAGAGAAGAAGAAAGGAACAAAAAGGGAGGGTGATATATAGATACAGAGATATGTGAATAGCTAAAACCTTTTTCAGAATCCCCGCCGCGGATCTAGTTATTCTGATTGCTGAACTGATGCTGTTTAAACTTATTTTTTTAAACAGTTTCTGACATGTTAAAACAATTGTTTTCGCATTTATAGAGATAATTTATTGTATAGGAGACATTATAGAAAAAAGATCGTTCAAATATTTCCTTTTTATGCACAGGAATGTTTAACACTATCTTTTTACGTAAATTCAGGTTATGGACATCTGCTCTATAAGACGAATGTTCATGTAAGTATGGAGGATTCCTATATTTCATTATTTTAAAGAATATGCATGTTGCATGAAAACGTCTACAATTAAACATATTCAACCACTTCAAATCTTCTAATTTGTGTTGAATTCTGGACTTTCTTCTGATATCAAATATTAACATGATGCGAGAGTTTTGAACTTTTTGTATGCGACACCTATAGTTCTTGTCTAAACATGAATGATAAACAGCGTCACAGTGGTTGAAATGAGATAAAACTAAAGAATCACATAGCATTGTCTTGACATCTACATCCAAATATTGTCTATGGGGATACATGAGTTTCAATGATGAATAAGCAATTATAAGTATGTAGGTTACATGTTCATGAAATCTTAGTTTATGATCTAAACTATGAGACGACGAAATCGTGTATTTCGCTCTGCTGAGTATTTCGTTTGCACTCGAAACAGAGGGTTCTAACCGTCACGCTACTAAATATGTCAGATGGAATAAAAATATTTATGCGAATCGCAATATGAAAATAATATGACATGTTATTTTTCAAGATGGTACGTTGTCGTTCTTCCGAAAAATAAATTGTTAATTTATTCTGTCCAACAACTGTGTAAAAAAATGAATATTTTGAAATGAAATCTCGAAACATGAATTTCACCCAATGTACCTACACGGTAGGTTTGGCTAAATGCCTGCCGGAAAATAATTACTTTCCGAATTTTGCCACGATGGGCATTGAATTATTTCCGACAGTCCTTAGTACAAGATACTTCACACAGCTTGGTTTTGCAGATGTTTCTGGTTCAGACAGCAACAGAACCACGCTGAAATCAATCAAGCAGATCACCTACAGTCCGGTTTCGAGGTATTACCTCTCGTCAGTGCAAGAGAGATCCGACCTGAAAAGCAGTGTGCCTGGGACTTGCAGCTTGACTTCATGTATGAAACTTTCGTCTAGTAACAGTTCCGTTTGGTGAACAAAGCCCCAAGCGGGGAAGAACCATAAAGCGACAATAATTAGGAATGAATCCCAAAAACAAAGCAAACTGGCGTTGGATATTATTGGGCAGGCTAAAACAGCCATGTATGGTGATCTATAACAAATGCTGTGTTTTAAAGGCTCTGGTTTCATCTATCAATCTTACAGTGATCATACAGAGAAAAAACAGAAGGGGACTTTTTATTCATATGTTTAGCTGAGGTTCTAGTGTTCCGTCTTTCCCGTGGATGACAAATCCATTAGATAAAATGTCTATATTTATTCATAATACCATGGAAGAAATCCATTCTATTTTTTATTTCATAGTTGAAAGGGCTCACGTTCATATAGTTAGAACGTTATTTTCATTAAAATGTTCTGAAAATGATAGAGATCATAGTAATGTGTATCCTGGTTAGTGATGAATAAACGGCATTGCATTATCCCGGAATAATTTGATTTTCTTAGTCTCAATTATTTACCTTAATCGTTTCTTGATCGAGAAGCATTACATGTACACAGTTTGAACGACTAGCTCTTGCCTTGCAGGTCAGAAAGCTCTCATTTGGATGACATCTACAGAAGTTTCTAGAAATACTGTTACCCTGTTCAACCCTCGTCACTGTAGACCAACTCTGTTACACCGAGATAGGAGAAACTGCAAGCATACCAATAAAACAAAACAAATATAATTCCCAGTTTATGTAACTCAGAGACCCTGATAACCGATTCAGTCAGCTCTTGAATCAGAGATAATGTGGACTGCGGACCACATTTAGTAAATCGATGACCGAAAGGATAGATTAGGCTGCATTACTAGCATCAGTATCGAATAGTCTGGAACCATAATCGAAAAACTGCTGATATGATATTGGCAAGAGCTCATCTTGCATTTGATGTGGCTACTCGCTTAGGCTAAAGTCCAGTTATCCGTTCTTTATTTGAATCTGAAGAGAACACTTTTGCCTCACCAGAATAAACCACTGTCTCTGAACCACCAACCAACTGAATTTTTCATCTATGTTAGGTTAAATATCATTCAATGCCTCAGGTGATGAATGTCATCAAATGAAGTGTATTTAATGAATCCCTAGTATTTTGTTAGTTTGTAATGATATCTTAGTTCCTAATTTATATTTCATTAGTGACTACCTGTTGAACACCCAATATTCATTTGTTTTCTATTTCTAATTTCGAACTGTTTGGAATGGGACCTTTATATCTATTCATAGATCCCCCATTCCACATCTTTCGATTTCTCAACTTTCATAAGAGTCTAAAAAGCGGTTTCAACATTTTCAAATATTGTTCACTCATTCTGTGTCTGTTCTCCAAGGCATATTGAGCTACACTCAACTCATTTGGTCTATTAAATTGAATGGCACCGGCAGCAGGAGTATCTAGAGGTGATTTCGAATTTGGGTGAAAGTTACCGTGATCAATTCAATGCCATGAAAGGTTAGGTTAGGTTAGGTCGGAAGTGAGTGGGTCTATTCGACCTTTCACCCCAACCCGCAGGGGTTTAGTGTGGCTCACACCTATTCACACTCGGCCAAATAACCCCAGCTTCTTAATGAAGCCGATTAGTTTGTATGGTGAGTGATCATTCAGGTCAGATGGTAAGGGTACGGATCAGCTCTAAGGACCTGATTCGCTCCCCAACGGGGCAGGCACAAAGTGTATGTTCTGCTGTTTCATAATTTTCCAAACAGAGGCGAAACACACTGTCTTCCGACAGTCCAAGTCTCTGCATATGATGATTCAAGTGACAGTGACCTGTAAGAAGGTCTATTAGACATCGTAGTTCATCCCTACAGTAGTCCAAGAACTGTTTGGTATCAAGCTTCGAAGGGTGGATAAACGCCTTTGAGTGAGCCAATCCTGGAAGATTCTGCCAGAAGTCCATAAATCTTCTTGCCATCCAGGTGTTCAATGTTTGTTTGGCAAAGCCCAAAGCAATCCCAATGACAGGTTCTGGTCTGATGAAGCCACTTGCATCACCCTCCTTTGCAAGAGAGACAGCAGCTTCATTACCTTCCAGGTCAGTATGGCGAGGAATCCAGACCAGAGACAATCGGTTAAGTCTTCCTATCGAGGAGACTCGTTTTTGGCAATTTGCTAAAAATTTAGACGTTGCTCGGTAGGAGCCAAGAGCTTTCAACACCGCTTGACTGTCCGGGAATATTTTTATTGAGTTTGTGTGAGGTTGGATTTATCCTGCACCAGAATCGGAAGGTGTTTTTGATCCATCTGTGAATGCGACGAAAACTCAGGAATCGGTTTTTTCCAAAAAGATAAATGTCTCCGAACCGGATATGTCAGGACAGACAATTTTCCTTTTGCTTCGATATGTTTGCTGGGGGTTGAAATGGACACAATCATGTCGCTAAAATTGCAAAGGCCCGCTTCTCAAAATCTTGGAACACTATTCCGAACCAGAAAACTGTACACACCTCAGCAACTTTTGGTGCTTCATATGCTCAGGTCAGACTTACTTCAGGGTATTGTTCTCATGTATGGAGCTCCGCCCCTAGGCATACCCTGAAGGTGCTGGATTCCATCCAGAAAAGAGCCATCCGCCTGATTGGAGACACGAACATCACTTGCAACTTTGATAGTCTGAAACATCGAAGAAAGGTTGGAGATGTGTCTCTCTTTCATAGATAGATACTTCCACGGGAGTTGTTCAAGTAACTTGGCACATTTGATTCCACCAAGAGCGGTTTTGAAGGATACACGTTATCCTCACCTGTTTCCTTGATAGTTTGATGTCGTTCCTTTCTTTGCTTGAAGAAACTGTGACCAGCTACTAGAAATGTATCCAAAAATACTAGTACATCTTTGTTAGGATGTATGTAGAAATAATAGAATTAGGAATTAAGATAATTATTTCAAAGAACCCAATACAAGGAATCATTTTACCATCCTCATTTGATGAAATTTGTTAGATAAGGTAATTATTTATGAATAGGCCTGACTTGAATGTAAAATATAATGACAATGTTTTGTTCTGGCGTGGTGAAATGTTTTCTTCAGATACATTTTTTTTAGAACTGGTGTACTAGTCCGAAACACTCCTTGAGTAAGTAAATGCACTTATTTCATATTTCAAAAAGAATATAAATATATCCATTTTCATATGTTTCTATTGGGATTTTTTGTAAATTTTCGTCTTCTGCAATTTGGAGAAATACTGTATTGGATACCATCATACTACGAAAGGTGAATATTCCACAAAAAGGTCACTAAAACATAAAGTGTAATGGCTCTAGAGATGAACTTCGAGCTCACCATCCAATGATAGTGGGTTAAAATCCTACTATGGTCAGATATTTTTACC